GATTGACACCTGGGTTCTTTCCACTTTTGGGAAGGGGGAGCTATTTATTATGCATATGGCTGCTATGACCCTCCTTGTAAACTTTCATTTCGTGGGTAATAAAAGTATCTTGGAGTAGAATTGCTGGGACTACATCGGTGCTTGCTTAGTTTTACAAAAAACTGCCAGATGTTGTACCATTTTACACTCCAGCACCAGCGATATATGAGAATTCTAGTTGCTCAACATCTTTTGTCAACATGATGTTATCAGTCTTTAATTTTAGACAGTCTACTGAGTATGTTTTGGTAGCTTATTGTGATGTTAATTTGCATTTCCATGATATTAATGGTGTTGTATATGTTTTCATGCGCTTATTATTACAGGCACACCTTGGAGATATTACAGGTTCAGTTCCAGACCACCATGATCAAGCAAATATCACAATAAAGCAATTCACACATTATTTTTTTTCAGTTTTTCAGTGCACGCAAAAGTTATGTTACACTATACTATGGCCTATTAAGTGTGCAAGACCATTATGTCTAAACAACAGTGTACACACCTTAATTAAAAATACTTTGTTGCTAAAAATTCTAACCATTATCTGAGCTTACAGCAAGCTGCATTTGTTTTTCCTTATGGAGGGTCTTGTATTGATGTTGTTGGCTGCTGACTGATCAAGACGGTGGTTTCTGAAGGTCGGGGTGGCTGTGGAAATTTCTTAAAATAAGACAACAGTGATGTTTGCCTCACCAGTTAAAAGTTTGCCACAGCCAACTTGATTTTATTCTTCCTTTCACAAATGATTTCTCAAATATCACTGATCACAGGTCACCATAAAAATTTAATAATAATGAAAAAATTTGGACTACAACATCGATATACAAAGTGAAAAAATGCTGTTGGGAAAATGGCATCAATATACTTACTCAATCCAGGTTTCCCACAAACTTTCAATTTGTAAAAATACTATTTGTGAAGCACAATACAGTGAAACACAATAAAACAAAGTATGTCTGTATTTATTTTTCTCTCTTTGTGAAATATTTGTTCAAATCATTTGGCCATTTTAAGCACTGGTTTCTTTGTTTGTTTGTTTGTTTGTTTTTGAGTTGCAGGAGCTCTTTATACATACTGGATACAACTTCTTTGTCAGATATATGTTTTGTGAATATTTTCTTTCAATCTGTGGATGGCCTGCTCATTTTGTTTACCATGTGTTTTGATAAGTTGGTTTATCTTTGTACCTCCTGCTATTCCCATGCATAGTTGAAGTGATAATATTTACTGAATAATAGAGCTAAAAGTTGTTCATTCTTCCCACCTTTATTAAGTAACACTTACTGATTACCTACTATGTGGCAGCCTCTCTCCTGTGCTTTTGAGGATACATCAAAAAGTAAAACAGACAAGCTTCCTAATCTCATGGCACTTACATTTTAGTCTATATGTGTATGGTGGTGGGGTGGGAGACAGAAAAACAAATAAATAAACAAGAAAATATGAGATAATTATAGCTGCTATAATACAAAAATGCACTGTATGTATAATGAGAAAAGGATTATTAGGGAGCTTTTTCAGGTTAGAGGGTAAAAAATCTGAAGAAATTATATTTAAGCTGAGAGCAGTATGAGAAATAGCCTTTTTTCCCCCCACTGGGGGAAAGGGATCTCAGGCAGAGGGAACAACTAATAAAAAAGGCCTTTAAGCTATGGCAGGTGTAGATCAGTGCATAGAGTGCAGGCTTGTGAACCTAAGGGTCATTGGTTCAACTCCCAGTCAGGGCACATGCCTGGGTTGCAGGCCAGGCCCCCCCCCACCCTCGGTTGGGGGCACACTAGAAGCAACCACATATTGATGTTTCTCTCCCTCCATTTCCCTCTCTCTAAAAATAAATTATTTTTTTTAAAAGGTGATATCTTTAAGGTGACTTGGGACTAGGCACAAACTATACAAAATACCTCTTTAGGTAAACTACAGTGTCAGGAATTGGTTGCTTTGGAAATTATCATAAATGGAATACACTGTTGCTATACTGTTACTCTTTCTTGGTACTGCAGTACTTAGCAGGTTCTCAACATCTTCCCTGCCCTCCCTGCTTCCCTGAGCTCCTAGGGTCCAAGATGCTTTGAAGATAGGAATTATGGATTAGCTAACACAATGGTCATCTGGGTTAAGGCTAGGTCAGGAAATTTTTTCCATCAAAGGTGACCAAGTGATAGACAAAGTAAATCAAGGGTTGCATAAGTAATAAGCAACTATATTTGCCTTTATTAGATAATAAAATGTAAAATGTTTTACTGCATTTTATGTTTGAATTGTATAATGTGAGTCTATAAATAAAATATCAGTTTGATAAATGGAATATAATTTATTTCTTAATTTTTCCTAGTTTAGAAAGAGATGGAAGAAAAGATGATGGGAAGGGATAATGGAAGGTAGAGACAGAGAGGAAGTGAAATAGAATGAAAAACAGGTTCAGAAATACCAGTATATCAACCAAGAGGGGGGAGGAAACTGTCCTAGAGGGAGATGGAAAAGCTGAGAAAAAACTGGGTGAAAAGGAAGCCAGAAGTGAAATGGGTTTTGTGTGAGTGTGTTCCTATCATCCTCTCATGCTCTTGGCCTATGGGCACCATAGTATGTTATTGTTTCCTTTGAAAAATGTGGTGGTGCTCTCTAGTAAAATTTAACACATACTTTTCTTCTATGTTTCCCTTCTGATGAGCTGTTTCAATTCTACATTAATACTGAATTCCTTGCATGATTTCTTTTCATTATTTTCTTCCATTAGACTGTTTTTTTCATTTAATCAAAAATCAGAGATCTTTGAAGAAAACAAACTACTATGCCTCTAGTATCCATTCTCTTATACTCAGATAGAAAGTTTCCTATAACCAAAATCATACCTTCTGATCATCATGGTTTTGATCATGATTATAAGGCTAATCCCATTTCTACTGTCAGTATTTTGGACTAAAAAAGTGTGGTTCTGACAGGACTTATGCTAAATGCAGGTGGTTTATAACTCAGTGGGTCTAACCAGGCACTGTGGAGACCAGCAAGTTCCATGTGAAAAAATCACAAACCATCTGGTGATGACTTGCTATACTCCATCTAGTACAGGTCTAAGGACTGCAACTAGCTGAACATCACTCTGGTCCCAACTGCTGGAACAGGACAATAACAGATTGGGCATTATCCTGAAGGAGTGAGATGGATGGCTGTTTCCTAATACTCTTCATTAGAAGAAGCTTAACTGAGGCTGGATAGAAAAAAAAACAGCCTAATTTGCAGGATGGTTGCTAGAAATTTGATGTATATACTTGCCCAAGAAAACAGTTAGTCAAAAGTATATAGCTACACTGATCAACTATAAACTAAAGATATATGCTGTAATGCAAAATTATTGACTGTACTATAGCAGGAAGAGCAGCTTTGTAAAGGGAGATATGAAAGTGAAACAATGGAAGGAATTTATTTAGCAGTTCATGTGGGATACATACCAGCTCATCAGAATGGAAGGACAGAATAATCTACTTAAGGGGAGACAATTAGATATCACAAAACTAATGTAGACTCTGCAGTCTTGGGGACCCCAAGTCCTGACTCAGTCCTCTTGTCAGTTCAATTTAAGGTTTCAGAATTGGCACATGAAACCTCAGGACATGTGGGCTAAATGTCCTGGGTAAGCAGAGGAGAAAGAATGAAGAAAACAAATTATGAATTAAACAAGCAAGCAAGTAAGCAATATGAGATATGTCAAATTACTAAAAACTTGAATCTCCAACAAACTTTTTTTTACTAAAGAATATTTGACATGCAATGTTATATTGGCTTCAGGTATACAACATAGTGATTTGAAATCTATATTCTTTATCATGTGATCACCATAATAAGTGTAATAACCATCTGTCACCATACAAATTTATTATAATATTCACTATTTTCCCTATGCTATTTCCACAGGTATTATATCTCTATGACATTTATTTTTTTATACAAGACTCATTTTTAAGGGAAATGGAGGTGGTAAACCAGACAGTTGTGACTGGTAGATAATATTGGGCCAATCCCTAGATTTTTAAGCCAAGAATATGACTTTCAGAAGCATAAACACTCAGAAAGAAGGTATGCAAAGCACTCCAGACTATGCTGATGAGAATAGTATAACTATGGCTTTTAGACAAAGTTAGAGGAACTATATGCTAGATATGGAATATTGGCCATAATAGGAAATGACCAAGGAACTTATTCTAACAGAAGTTGTCCAAAATTTGCAGAAGACAGAAAATGTGGGAGTGTCATTTACTATACATCTCCTAGGTTGCAAAGGCATTTGGAAACTTTGATGAATGGATTATTAAAATCACAGAAAGAATTTAGCAGCACCAGATATAAATGGCAGTGAGGCAAACATGCTAATAAAGACAGAGTTAAATGAAAGACTCTGAGTGAATTATCTTCCTCAATAGAGATGTTGAAGAAAGATAGACAAACTATCTGTGTTCATTTTGTTCTCAAATCCCCTAAGAAGAGATAAAGATCAGGAAAGGTTTAAAGGAGAATATGACTAGTATATTGTTATAAGGCCATCAAAAAAGAGGAGCAATAGCTAGGGATACCCTTTCAACCTTACCCTATAGCCAGAACCTGTAAGATGGATAAAGGCTCAAGGATACTAATCTTTATATTTCTCTTTTTTATTATTAGGTCTGCTTTGCTGTTTTCTCTTGGCTGTGACAATCTGCCATAGGGTCATTATAATAGCAGTTCACTACCAGTACCAACAAGAGTACCACAAGTAATTTTGTGGGAAGTTCACCTTCACCAACTATATCAAAAATTGTTATAGGACCACTGGCCTCATTCGGTGCTTGATCATCATAATCATATCAGCGTAATTCCTGGACCCAACAAACACAGAACCATTGCCAGTCCCACAGGATTCATTGTAGCCAAGAGCTGATTTTCTACAGTTTTAGGATTATTTTATCTTCTGAGGAGAGCATTGAGGCATGGAGCCTGCACCAATCCCTGTGCTAGTTGGTGGACTTGTTGACTGTTTAGCCCAGTTAATAATAATAGCTGAAGAGATTCTACAAGTAATGTCACAAGAACAAGTTCCTTGTATAGAGCAAAGTGATGCAGCAGAACAAATAGAAGCAGATTCAGCTCCTTCTGAGGAAGCTGCACTACCAGACCTTGCTTCACTACCAGACCTTGCTAATCTCCCAGAGTTAGGATTAATACTTACACCAAGAGAAGAAGAGCTAATGTTTGATATAGATCAAGCTATGTTAGATGTAGAAAACTTGTATGGAGATGTACTCTCCAGTATAAATGATGACTTAAGAAGTGGATGAGACCCCGCCAGCATGTAAGAATTTACTGTATTTCTCTTTCAAATATTTTTTAAAAATATTTAAAAAATTTTTCTGAATATTAGCAATATGAAGTTTCTCCTAGTTCTGCACATTTTCCTGAATAATACCATATAGAACAAATAATATTTGGTTAATTCCAACAGAGGCTGATCTCATTTCTTCATTGTACTTATTTAAGAAGCTCTGACTTTAGCCATATAGTTCTTTACCTGTATCTGTTCTCCTGCTAGGATTTCTGATAATATGCACAAACAGTAACAAAGAAAATAAACTCCTCACCTAACAATGGAGTGAAAACCTGATGAACTCTATCACAGCTTGACACCCAATTTCATTATTCTACAATGAATAGAAGTTGAAAGAGGAATAATCCCCAAGATGGCATCATAGTGAATATATTCAAATTAACAGGACAAATTGGAACACTTTTTCTTTATTTTTTATTATTTAAATTATTTTATTATTGTTCAATTACAGTTGTCTGTATTTTCACCCCATCCCTCCCTCCCACCCCCTCCAAACTCATCTCCCTCCCTTGCTTCCACCCTCCCCCTTGGTTTTGTCCTGTGTCCTTTATAGTAGTTCCTGAAAACCTTTCTCCCCAATGTCCCCTCCCCATTCCCCTGTGGCTATTGTTAGATTGTTCTTAATTTCAATGACTCTGGTTATATTTTGATTGCTCTTTTCTTTTGTTGATTATGTTCCAGTTACCCTAAGAGTTCTGAAACACCAATCCAAAAGAACCTATGCACCCCAATGTTCATAGCAGCACAATTTACAGTAGCCAAGTGCTGGAAGCAAACTAAGTGCCCATCACTAAATGAGTGAATCAAAAAACTATGGAATACTTTCACTTAAGAAGATATAACTTCTTACTCTAAAAAGCCTCCATACTAGGCCTTTAGTAAAGTGTGTCAACCAGTGGATTCTATAGCAGACTAGTAGAAATGATTCTGAAAAAGCAACATCTACCAGATAATAAAACTGCAGAAAGGTTTTCAGATAACTTCTGCAAGTGAGAAGACTTTGAAAAAGCTGAGGCCAAGAGGTTGCAATGCAGGACTATTTCCTTAAATGTTGATGCATATTGTATCCACTCTGCAATATTGTTCCCTAAATGGAAGTGGCAAATTACATCAAATAACAAGAGAGAAGTACTAGTACTAGAAGGGCTAGATAAAACCCTGCAAGGATTATTCACTAAAGAAAAGTAAAATACTTAGGGTATAGACTTAGATATTGTGGTCCACAAGTAGTAGTGGATAAAGTGTACCTTCTTGGGTATAGTTAAACTTATAAACAATAGCTTGTAGACTTGTGATAGTGAACTTGTTGCAGCCTTGACATAGAAATTTTAACTATTGAGAGATGGAAACAACATGAATTTAAACAAAGTCTGGACTGGTATTTAGCCACAATAATTCTACAGATACCAGAAGGGGAAAATGCAATAGTTAGAGGACCTCCTATATCAAAACAGAGAGGGGCCAAATAAATGTGTGGGAAATTCACTGATAATACTAATTCCATGCCATACAATATCCTTACTTCCATATGGAATAATACCTACCCTTCAGACAAGCCTATAGACACTATGGTCATCCTTTCTAGAGAATGGCCTTTGTATCCCATGACATGGGCAATGACTAGGTGCACATTAAAGTGTACCATTAGACAAAGTGGTATATGAAAATTGTGAAATGACATGTAGAAGTCAATCCATACTGATAGAAACCTGACTATACAAATTCATATAGAGTGCTAAAGCATACTGTAGTCAAAGGGATTGAAAGACATTTAATTCAGATAACATTAGAGCTAAACAACATGACAGATGCTGCATCTAATATCAAGGTCTGCATACAGATATTGGCATACAATAGTGTACTAATTTCAAGTGTAGAGAATACTGATTCAATATTTATATACTAAAGTTTATATATATTACATATCCTATGATATAATCACCACACTAAGTCTAGTAACCATCTGTCACCATGCTAAGTTATTATAATATCATTGACTAGATTCCTATGCTGTATACTACCACATCTACATGGATTATTTACTTGTTAACTGGAAGTCTGTAACTCTTAAATCCCCTTCACCTTTTTTTTCCATCCCTCTGCTATCTCCTCTAGCAACCATCAGTTTGTTCTCTGTTTCTATGAGTCTTTGTTTTGTTTTCTTTACTCATATTTTAAAGATTCCATGTATAAGTAAAATCATGTGGTATTTGTCTTTGTCTGACTTATTTCATTTAGCATAATACCCTCTATGTTGTAATTAAATGTTTGGAAACAGCAAGGGAAGATATAAACTCTGCAGTGGGATTTTGGACTTTGGGAAATTGTCCTATAAATTTGTGTCAAAATAAAACTCAAAGCATAAATATTTGGACAAGGTCAGGAAACATATACAATGACAGCACATATAAGTCTGCTACAAATTATATTTGATGAGCAATTGAACTGTAAATGGACAAATCTGGTGCTTCTCAAATATAGATACTGAAATGTATCTATTAAGCCTACTAGAATTCTGGAATATGGGCTTTATACAATTCTATAACAGATTAGTGTGAGCTTGTTAAAATTGTTAGTATTAATGAGGGAACACAAGCAACCAAGCTAACTCAAGCAAGTCATCAAATAAACCAAGAGGAATCTGTGCGATTATTCCAGACCTTGAAACAAGATAAAACTTGAACTAGCCCATAAAACAACAAATGGTCAATGTGGTCCAGTATCAAAGCAGGAAAATGCTACAGCCTCGTAATATGTGGAGTTGTCTAGCTGCTTGGCTAGGTGGGCCACCTGGAAAGATTGTACTATAATGGCACCTCAAGAATAGATGAAATATATTGCAATGTTTGCTTTGATTATGTGCTTATGTTTTTAACAACTGTTAAGATGTAACCCTACTCCAAGGAATGATAGTTGTACTTGTTCTTTGGAACAGTTAGAAACAGAATCATTAGTAATAAGAAATAGGTGTAAGAAATAAGAAAATACTTCAGAAGTAGAGCTAGTGGGAACATATTTTAAGGAGAGAGAAGAAATGTAATAAGTTGCCAACAGTTATGCAGCTGTTCATGGTGGAAAACCATGGAGTTAGTTCCTAAGCAGGTTTATGAATCTAGCCTTGTTTTTATAATATACAAATTAGCCAACCCTAAGTTGTTGATTCTGATAGAAATAACTGGGTGGCAATTGATACAAATCATGCACTTAGAAGCATGATTAGATGGAGATATATTAACTAACTTGGAAGTCTTCTGATTGGATGCCTTTGATTAGAATCCTGCCAATCTTCTCCAGGAGAATGAACAGAGTGGCTGATCTTTTATCTAATGGTCAGCCAAAGAGATCCGAATTAGCTCTTTCCTGGAATTTTATTGAAATTTTTATTGAACTTATTGGGGTGACATTTATTAATAAAATCACATAGGTTTCAGGTGTACAATTCTATAATATATCATCTGTATATTGTATTGTGTGTTCACTAACCCAAGGCAAGTTTCCTTCAATTCTGGATCTTCTTGAGATAGGCTCATCATTCTGAGACAAACTTAAAGGTGTGAAACCAAGGGAGATAAGCTGGTAGATGGCAAAGAATTAGGAAGCATAAATCTTCCTCATGTGTGTGATTACACAGCTTCATTCTTATGTGTGATGATTACTGCTAGTTAATAGAATATAATTGAATATAATCCTTATTAGTTTAATCATACAATTTTATTGTTGTATGTTTTAACAGATTTTATCTAATAAACTTCCATTTGAAAATCAAAGAACTTGTGGTCATTTTAATTACTTGGTGGTAAGTTTAGAGGCTACTAAACAAGCAACAGAAGGTGGAATATACTCAGAGAATACTGAACCAGGAGTCTGAAGTTCTACTTCTGGCTTTGACACATAATCCTGGACAAATCTCTGAAATATAGTCTTTTATTATTTGTAAAACAAGAGTTAAAGTAATTTTTCTGTCTACTTTCGATGGTAATAAGGAGCAAAAAAATGATACACTTTTCAATGGCTTTGGCATGATATATCATACCAATGGGACAGAATATGTGAAATAATGGCTTTTTAGAAATATCTGAAAAATGTCTATATGATGATACCTGCAAGTCTCTGTGATATGTAAAGATTATCCAATAGTTTTATTAGAGATTATCACTTTCTTAATTTACTCCATGTCAAAGTTATAGTTTAGACTCAGTTTTTGTTTCATTCTTCCGAGCTTGTTATTTTTCTAACCAAATTAAATTCTTTTTTGGAGTCCATGTGAGTTCTAGTAGGAATAGCAGTGAGGAAAAACAACAATAAAAAGTCTTTCAGGAAATAATGAATTACGTTTCATTTAAGGTTAAGATTTTGTTTCTGAGGGTTATGTAACTCCAAACATTAACTCGTTATTATCCAATTAGATTTTTACAATTATTTTTATATCAAAGCTGACTATTGTGTTGTTGTATTGATAACCTTATCTTAGCAGACCAGAGGTGTTTACTCTTTTCCTCTTGGGTATACTTAATACTTTTTCAAGGACCTGATCCCTTTAGTCCACATTTAAAACTTGTTTACTTCTGAATATAATATGCTTAGTTCACCAACCAACCAACCAACCAAACAAACAAAAATCTTAAGAATAACTCATAGCTCTTGAAGTTATTTGGGAGTTATTTGTATTGACAGATACAGCTATATATTGGTGTCACATGTCAGATCTCTTCAGTGTAATAAAGTCTTTGAAGGTGATCTCCACTTATGCCCTGGAAGAATGGAAATGTATTTCGGCAAGGTAAGGAAAACCACTGAACTTTACCCCTTGTCACAATTTCATCTTAAAGACCCTAGTGAAATGCTCAAAGGATCTCAAGAGGTACTTTTTAGATTAACACAAGTATTTATGTAAAGTGGACTAGGGAGCCACATTTAGAAAATACAACTTTAGTACTTCAGATTTGTTTAACC